CATCAGAATGTCAAATGGTAGCCACTTGTTGTTCACTGCCAACATAATAATCTGGTTCTTCAAAGGAACACTGTGACATTAGGAATACAAACTTTTATTCAAAATGCTATATTGTCCTAGTTGCAAATTAGTTTTAGGTCTGACCCCTTACCGTGTTTTCAGTAAAAAGCTGAAGAAAAACGTTTTTAATCACCTCTAGCGACCTGGCACCTTTTCCCTCGTCACTCCTTGACGTCATCCAACTCTCTCGCCATTGGTCAATCAAATGCTGCTTTTAGAGGAGCATTGGGGACTGATGTACATGCACAGCATGTACATGAGTTGCACTATCACGTGACCAAGTTTTACTCAGTAGTTCCTCGGGAAGCGCCTCTAGGTGCAGTCTGCAAGACAGCCACTAGAGGTGTGTTTAACCTTGCAATGTAATATAGCAGTTTTTACAAAATTGCAATGTTTACATTGCAGGGTTAAATTTAGTAAAACATTAAGATTAAGTGGTCTGGGTGACTTTAATGGCCCATTAAAGGACCACTATAGTGCCAGGAAAACAAACTCGTTATCCTGGTACTATAGTGCCCTGAGGGTGCCCCCACCCTCAGGATCCCACTCCTGCCGGGCTGAAGTGGGAGGAAGGGGGTTAAAGGCTCACCTTTCTCCAGCGCCAGGCTCCCTCTGCGCTGGGGACTCTCCTCCCTCTTCTGATGTCATCAGCTGAATGCGCATGCGCGGCAAGAGCCGCACGCACATTCAGCCAGTCCATAGGAAAGCATTCCCAATGCTTTCCTATGGACGCTGGCGTCTTCTCACTGTGAAAATCACAGTGAGAAGCGTGGAAGCGTCTCTAGCAGCTGTCAATGAGACAGCCACTAGAGGCTGGATTAACCCATATGTAAACATAGCAGTTTCTCTGAAACTGCTAGTTTACAGCAGGCAGGGTTAATCCTAGATGGATCTGGCACCCACACCACTTAATTGAGCTGAAGTGGTCTGGGTGCCTATAGTGGTCCTTTAAGATCATTTTTTGGCATGTAGAGTTTGGCATTTACTTCAGTAGTGGGGAAAGTGATGGAAACCATGTTAAAGGATAGGATTGATGAACATCTAAAAACACATGGATTTCAAGATCAGAGACAACATGGGTTTACTTCAGGGAGATCATGCCAAACTAATCTTATTGATTTTTTTGATTGGGTAACTAAAATTATAGATCAGGGTGGTGCAGTAGACATTGCTTACCTAGATTTCAGTAAGGCTTTTGACACTGTTGCACATAGAAGGCTTATCAATAAACTGCAATCTTTAAGTTTGGATTCCAATATTGTTGAATGGGTAAGGCAGTGGCTGAGTGACAGGCAACAGAGGGTTGTAGTTAATGGAATATATTCGAAGCTTGGACTTGTCACCAGTGGGGTACCTCAGGGATCTGTACTTGGACCCATTCTCTTTAATATTTTTATTAGTGATATTGCAGAAGGTCTTGATGGTAAGGTATGTCTTTTTGCTGATGATACTAAGATATGTAACAGGGTTGATGTTCCAGGAGGGATAAGCCAAATGACAAATGATTTAGGTAAACTAGAAAAATGGTCAGAATTGTGGCAACTGACATTTAATGTGGATAAGTGCAAGATAATGCATCTTGGACGTAAAAACCCAAGGGCAGAGTACAGAATATTTGATAGAGTTCTAACCTCAACATATGAGGAAAGGGATTTAGGGGTGATTATTTCTGATGACTTAAAGGTAGGCAGACAATGTAATAGAGCAGCAGGAAATGCTAGCAGAATGCTTGGTTGTATAGGGAGAGGTATTAGCAGTAGAAAGAGGGAAGTGCTCATGCCATTGTACAGAACACTGGTGAGACCTCACTTGGAGTATTGTACACAGTACTGGAGACCGTATCTTCAGAAGGATATTGATACCTTAGAGAGGGTTCAGAGAAGGGCTACTAAACTGGTTCATGGATTGCGGGATAAAACTTACCAGGAAAGGTTAAAGGATCTTAACATGTATAGCTTGGAGGAAAGACGAGACAGGGGGGATATGATAGAAACATTTAAATATATAAAGGGAATCAACACAGTAAAGGAGGAGACTATATTTAAAAGAAGAAAAACTACCACAACAAGAGGACATAGTCTTAAATTAGAGGGACAAAGGTTTAAAAATAATATCAGGAAGTATTACTTTACTGAGAGGGTAGTGGATGCATGGAATAGCCTTCCAGCTGAAGTGGTAGAGGTTAACACAGTAAAGGAGTTTAAGCATGCGTGGGATAGGCATAAGGCTATCCTAACTATAAGATAAGGCCAGGGACTAATAAAAGTATTTAGAAAATTGGGCAGACTAGGTGGGCCGAATGGTTCTTATCTGCCGTCACATTCTATGTTTCTATGTTTCTATGTTTCTATGTAGAGTCTTAGGTATGAAGCGGAATTCTTGGAGAATGTTTTGTCACCATTACAACCAATGCTATCCCTTATGAAAACTTTACTTTTAGAATTAGAACTGTTAATATTAAAAAGATATTCAAGTAGCATAACCACTATAGCTTATGCATATGGCTAGGAGTCCTTGAGTGCAACCACTCCAATTTTGTTTAAACATTTGCAGTTTGACAAAAACATGGGCTGACCTGGCACCTTAAACCCAGCCATCCGCCATGTCTTACACATTATCCCTGCAAAACCATCAAATTATGTGGCAACAAACTGTAAGCGATTGGTTTAAGCTGAATTTTCAACAAACTGCTTGAAAATAGATGACAAAAACTGTGATACTTCATTGTGAAAGCAGCTATTCTAGAATTGTTACTGTAAAGCACTTTTGTTATCTGCGATTCCACTATGGAGAAATTCTTTCACTCAGAGTGGATATACCTTTGGTTCTCCACCATAAATCTTCTTGAGAAGACAGGTTTTCCCATAGATTTTCCCTTTTTATCTCTCTATACAAGCATACAGTTGGCAGCTCTACAATGGCACTTACTATGACCTATAGTCACTAACAGGAGTAACCTACAGGAAGGTACACTGTATCAGGTTAAACTGGTTCTATAAATAATGTTATATTTGCCTTGAAAATCTAAAACCTGGAGCCTGGAGTACAACGGTCACAAGCATTAGCTAATTTACTCTGCCAACTGAAAATGTTTTCACCTGCATAAATTGGACAGAACAGTTGATTTCCCGACACTAATAACATGGGATGATAAAGCTTTGCCAATATTTTGAATTGACTCTTTTGTTGTTTTGGCATTTAGAACACGGCCACTCGCCAAAATTGCAGTTCAGAATGCATTTTTTTCAGGTATCCGTGGCTACAAGTCACAGTGGTGAATTATCCAAATTGTTTCTACTAACCTAACAAAAACGACAAAAGTTTAACCAACAATCACAGAGAGCAAAACTTGTTTTGACCACAAAGTCGTTAATGGTAGTAAGCTACAAAAAAATTTAAGTTATTTCAAAGAAACCCTTCCCGTAACTTTTTACTGTGAGTTCAAATGTGTTCCTAATTTCAATTCCAAATCAAAAAACTGAGATGAACATTATGAAAATTTAATCTCAGATAATTTTGCTATTGAAATATTTTTTCTGCGTGTTTTTATAACAGTATAGTTTCAGAACTACTACCCTGTATAGTAATGTGTGAGATTATTTTAATTTCCGAAAATCCTGCACTGCCTACAATAGTTCCTACCCTATGTGAACCTGTAGTATACTTTTCCATTCTTCTATCATTTACCACTGCATTGCCAATATTAGACCATCCAGTTCAACAATCTTCTAAAATGTAGCATAGTGTCCTAAAATGTTATTTTAAAGGGTAAGTCTTTACACCTAACTCACTTCAGCTTAATGAAGTAGTTTTGGTGCATATATCATGCCCATGCTGCCACTGCTCAGTTCTCTATCATTTATGATGTAAATTACTTTGTTTTTGAAGCCACTCCTTCACTGGCCTTCAATTATATAACCTTCCTTCACACTTCCTGAAGATAATTCATTTCCACACTAATTTATATCCAACTCAGTGCCAGGGCTTATATTAGGACTTGGAGATGGTGGGGTCTTATTACCCTGGACAGGGCCATCGCCATCGTTAGGCAAACTAGGCATTCGCCTAGGACGCTGGCCTGCTGGGGGCGCCCACTGGGATATTTCCTGGTGTGCTCCCCCTGTCTTGAGCCGCAGTGCTGGGCGAGTGGCTCTAGAGCTGCCCCCCCTCAGCGCCGGGCCAAAAATGGGGGCGACCGGGGGAACCTTGTCACAGGGGGCCCAGGAGGTGGCCATATGTTCAACTCAGGGTGCCCCCGAAGCTGTCCATTTTTCGGTATGGCAGAGCAGGCACCTGCTTACCCTGATGGCAAGTGCCTGCTCTGCCAATGAATGCTGGCGGAGAGGAGGCAGTGTGGGCGGCGAGGGAGGCTCTCTTTGCAGCTTCCCACTCCTCCCTTGCATGCCCTCTGTGATGCAGGGAGACGGAATATTATGACGTCATTCCGGCCCCGGCGCACTAAACAGCGCGCTGGAGGAGTGAGGAGCTGCCCCACACTGGACCCCAGGGAGGTAAGGAGGCTGGGTGTCTGAGTCTATGTCAGTGAGTGTGTGAGTGTTTGACTGCCAGTGAGTGTGTTTGTGTGTGTCTGACATTGAGTGTCTGTCAGTGTGTGTGTGTGTCTGTCTGTCAGTGAGTGAGTGTATGTATGTCAGTGAGTGTCTGCCTGTGTGTGTCTCTGTCAGTGAGTGTCTGCCTGTGTGTGTGTCTGTTAGTGAATGTGTGTGTGTGTTTGACTGTCAGTGTGTGTGTGTCTGTCTATCAGTGTGTGTGTGTCTGTCTGTGAGTGAGTGTATGTATGTGTGTCTGTCAATGAGTGAATGTATGTATGTCAGTGAGTGTGTCTGTCCGTGAGTGAGTGTATGTATGTCAGTGAGTGTCTGCCTGTGTGTGTGTGTGTGTGTCTGTCAGTGAGTGAATGTCTCCCTGTGTGTGTATGTGTGTGTCTGTCAGTGAGTGTTTGACTGTCAGTGTGTGTCTTAATCATGCATGATTAAGGCTCTGCCGAGCCGAAACGTTGCGCTTATTTTATGGTGAGGTGGTGAACCCACGAATAAAAACTTACCTTCATTATCCTGAAGTGCTGCCTGTGTTTTTCTATTTTCAAGACTGTATTGGTGGATTCAGCGGCGACAAATCCTTTACACAGAGCGCCTCTTTGGTAGAAGGCCAGAGTATTCATGCGGAACTTGTGTGCAGGGTATACTGTTTCTGTGTGTGTGTGTGTGTGTGTGTGTGTCTGTCAGTGAGTGTCTGTGTGTCTGTCAGTGAGTGAGTGTATGTATGTCAGTGAGTTTATGAGTGTGTCTGCCAGTGTGTGTCTGTCAGTGAGAGAGTGACATAAGGGGGCGGCAAAATGGATCTTTGTCTAGGGCGGCAGAAATCCTTGCTCCGGCCCTGACCCCGGATAGATCCTGGCTACTGAGAAAATGCAAGGATATGCTCCAGAGGCACTGGAAACAGCTAAGCCAAGACTGACAGCACTGGCAACCAGACTAAGCAGAGGCTAACAGAATAAATGGCCTGTTTACCAAAGATCCAGCCAAGATGTATGCCTGCAGAATAGGAACCAGTCACCATCACTGTCAGAGATATCCAGCAAAGAGTAACCCACATGAAGAGTTGGTCAGCCCTAGGACCTGATATAAAGCACATCTATTGGATAAAGAAATTAGCAACGCTTCATGAACGCCCAGCAACACAAATTAACCAACTACTAGCAACAGGCTCCCACCCTGAAAGGCCAACACAAGGCAGAACAATAATGATCTAAAGGACCCTCACAAGGGAACAACACAATCCAACTAGTGATCAATCACCTGCCAGGCATCATAGCCTCCAAGATTAATGTACATATGAGTCAGTACCTGAGCAATGCTCAAAAGAGGACTTCAAACAACACCAGAGGATAAGACCACCAACTACTGGTAGACCAAACAGTCACTCGGGATTCCAAGACCAAACAGAACAATCTGCACAGCCTGGATGTGATGATTTGAACTTATTTTGCAGCCACAAAACCTGGGAACCTTGCAATAACAAGTGACTATAACATCAGGAAGAATGAACCCTTCTGTGTGTTTCTTTCTTCCACCCCAGCGCCTCTATGTATTTTTTTCCCCACAGCCGCTCTGCGCATGTCATTCTCCCCTTCCCAGCCCCTCTATGTATCTCTTTCTCCCAGCCCCTGTGCGTATCTCATTCTCCCCTTCCCTGGCCCTCTTTCTCTCCCCAGCACCTCTGTATGTGTCTCCCCCCGCCCCCACCTCTCTATGTGTCTTTCTCTCCAGCCCACCTGTGTTTCTCTTTCCCCCCAAAGCCACTTTTTGTGTCTCCACCCCAACCCTCTGTGTTTCTCTTTCTTCCCCTAGCCCTGCTGTGTTTCTTTTTCTTCTCCTAGCCCCTCCGTATGTCTCTAACTCCCCCAGCCCCTCTTTGTCTCCCCCCACCCAAGTCCCACAGTGTGTCACTCACTCCAGGCCCCTCTGTGTGTCCCTTCCCCCAGTCCTTCTATGTGTCTCTTTCCCCCCTCACAGCCCATCTATGTGTCTCATCCCACCCACCATTGTGGGCTTCCTCCCTCCCCTCCTGTGATTGCGTTCTTCCTACATGTAGGGTGACCTAATGGACCACGGGAGACAATGTTCTGTTTCCTGTACAATGGCTGACAGGAAGCTGTTTGTTTCTCTCAGTGAGCACTTTCCATCAGAATTTCTACAGAAGATTATCTACCATGGTACTCAGCTGTGCTACATCCAATAACTGGCAGGAGGGGATGCTGTGCTGTGTGTTCCCCTCCTGTCTGTCACCTGGCAATTGTGCTTTCCAGCTGGTGCACCCTAAGCACTAATCATAAGTACCTTATGATTCAACAGCTTGTAGAAGCACCTTTGACAGCAATAACTTGTGACTTTATCAGTATCTCACATCATTTTGGAGCTATTTTGACCCACTCTTCGTTACAATCATGCTTTAGTTCATTGAGGTTGTAACGGATTACCTGGCACCCCGACTGGGTACCTCCGTTAAAGGATGCTCCTAGCGCTTCCTGAGGACTCCAAGCACTGCAGCAGACACCACAACCACCGAACCGGAGAAGCATATGAATCCTCTCAAGCATATGAATGCTGTAGACAGTTGAATAGGAACCATACGAATAGGTTTACTCTCCTAGCAGTCAAACTGGAACAGCATACAATAAATCCTTCCCCCAATAATGAGACGACACTTCACTTTGAGGGTTAAAACAGGAACTCCCTGTACTGTCACATACAGTCTCTTTTATTCCCAATCCACAAACATAGTACAGCCCACAGGGCGTTACAAAACAACCAATCAATCCGTACAATACACCCAGACACTCCCACACAAAATCCTCCCCTCTCCATGTGATATGATTACTGAACACAATGGGTAATCTCATTATCACCGGCAGAGGAATACAGTTTTTACACAATATTTATAACTTCTAAAATATACATGTCACAAACATAAAACATACATTTTCATAATCAATCCATTCAGGGGAACAACATATTAAAAAATGGCACGAATCAGACCAGGGGTTCAAAAGTTAAGGGAAAGTCCTTTGTGACTAAATGAAGCATGGCTTTCCGGCCCAAACCAGTTTCAGAGTCTTCTATCCTGGAGATAATTGAGAGTAATTCAATTATCTCCCAGGACAGACACAAGACTCCATTAAGCACATGGTTGCAAAAAGACACAAAACACTTTAAAATACATAAAGTCACCTTTTACACATAAGACACAGACATTTCACATATCCCCAGATAGCTGGGATCTGAGCGCACAAAACTACCGAATAGCGCTCAGATCCTATTCACACAGTTCAATTGCCATGGAGCCGAAGTCTTTAACTACACGAATGGGCTCCATGGCATAGCTATCTGGGTTAACACATTCACATAAAGTCTGGTCCATAGTCCAAAGGCAAGAGGCGGGCAAGCAGCCCCCTCCAAGGACACGTGGCGAGGCCGGTTTCGCCACAGAGGTTTGCTGACATTTATTTATGCACAGCTCTCTTAAGGTCCTGCCACAGCATTTCAATTGAGTTGAGGTCTGTGGGGTAGGGACTCCAGCTAGGTTATGATTGTCACGGCAGGGGGCATAATTAATTATTGCACTATGGAATATTGTCCTTTAATGTAATTTGTGTAGTGCATTAATGATCTGCCTGCCTGGTAGAGATGGTATTGTCAATATCAAAAGGGGTGAATTTGATTGTGTGGAAGGTCAGAAGGTTTTTTTTTAGCCTTAATTCTCTTTGAAGCTGGGACCCCCCACAGAGGTCAGATGACAGAAGGGGTAATGGAAATTGCATAGGAATGTGTACCATATGGATGGAGCATGTGAATTAATCTGTAAGGCTCTTTAAGGTGGAAGAAATCGCACATAAGTAGCCTGGCTGTCTCTTCTGCCATATCGCCTCTACCTTTTAATTAAAGAGTGGATTCTTTTGATATGTTAATGACCATTAGGCTTGTTCCAGTATCATATCCAAATGAGAAAAAAAATAATATTTACCCACAGAATAATACTTAAGCCTCATTTTTGTTATACTTGGAACGTGACAAGCACCCTCTTCTAAGCAAGCCCAAACATGATTGGCATAACTTAACCATAGGGGAAGGAATTGTGATGTCTGGCATATTGGGTTGCAAGTACTGTGTGAGACATATCTATAGAATGGAAAAATAATACAAAATTTGTAGATGCAATTATTATTTCTGTGGCAGGTACATAAAAGAAGATAGAACCAAATGTTTCCATTTGGATAGATGTTGGTCTGGAACATCAGGGGGTGGTATCTCATTATCTGTTTAGATACTCCTTAACCCCACCTCTAGACCAGGCGTGGTAATCCACAGGGTATTTTATTATTGATTTACCTGGGGGACCAAGGCACCCAATTTATGAATTGTCTTTGTGGTAGCAGCGTTAAAATAGTAATAGTTATATTATTATGTTTAAGGGTGGGTGGTGTTAAGGGGAATTTTGTAATTATTTCCGGTCTAGTGCAGACATATAGTGAACTTTAACCCTTTCACCACCACAACTACGTCACGCACACTCTTGAAGTAGAGTGCTTTGTGACAATGATATTTTAACCAAAGAAAAAGTTACCTGCGATCTCTGCCCAATGGTTTAACATTTTAATACGTAAGTATTTTTAAACAAATGGAGGTCATTCACTTACTCCAATGGCCACTGGAGGGAATGCCTGCCTGCCAACATCAAGGCAGACCCCCCTAGACCGGTCCTACACTGACCCTTCACCTTGCTTCCTTGAGCCTCTGGCAAAGATATCTCTAATGAGACAGAGAGGGGTATTTTTTATATACACTCCTATATATTTATTAACCCTTAATAGGGAACACATGGGATGGGCGGCAGCATTGTAACCCAGCTGTGTGATACAAAAAGTGAATACAAATACAAAAAGATAAGTCCTGCACTCACTCCTATCACTTCTGGGTGGCAGTAACGACCACAGTACACATCAGCTCCAATACATATAGTAAAAACAAAAGAAAAAAGTTACCTGCACTCTCTCTCTTAATCCCTATGTATATTTAAACAAATGGAGGTCATTTACTTACTCCAATGGCCACTGGAGGCAATGCCCGCCTGCCAACGTCAAGGTAGACCCCCCTAGACGGGTCCTATACTGACCCTTCACCTTGCTTCCTTAAAGCCTCTGGCAAAGATATCTCCAATGAGACAGAGAGGGGTATTTATTTGATGTTGGCAGGCAGGCATTCCCTCCAGTGGCCATTGGAGTAACTAAATGACCTCCATTTGTTTAAATATAAATAGGGATTAAGGAGAGAGTGCATGTAACTTTTTCTTTGGTTTTTACCAGTCCCTGGTTTCCCCAAAAGCAAGACACCGGAGAACAAACCTAAGGTGGCAGAGAGGACTCGAAAATCTAAACCGTGTTGTATAAATTTAATATGGTTGTGATATATTAAACCTTAGTGACCTACTTATGGCTGTCAAACAACCTACCAAAACCCCAACATTTCAGGACCTCATACTACAATAGCTCATCTCATGGCCATGGCAGACTGCTGGCACATGCAGCACTCTCAGTCAATACCAACTGTTCATATACTAGAACTCTGACCATTTTTAATAAGGTCACATCAGAGTTTGTAATAGTTAATCTGTAATCGATACCATGGTGGCGTTCACATCCTTTTGTCACCTCAACCATAAATTTGCTCAAAACACCATAAAACTACTTGGATATAACCTTCAACATTTTCAAATCATTCTTTTAGAATATGTTTCTGCAGTCTCTAGTGGAATATCCCAGTTCACATCATCGATGGCTGGGACGGGGAGATCATCTGCATATTCCAGATGCAGCCCTCAAATGTAGAGGGAATTGAGGCAGGCATTTAAAGTATTGATTACCGGCCCTGCTAGGGCTGGCAGGGAAGATCCTGTGTTCACCCCTGCTGGCCTCGACCTATGGCCATTGCGGCCCACCAGACATTTGCCTGGTTTGCCCAATGGTTTAACATTTTAATACGTGTTGACATTAGGCCGGTCTTATCCGAGCATGGGGAGATCAGGCCTACAGGCACTATGATGTAGCCGTCGGCGAGGGAGGGAAGGTGTAGCCGGGAGGCACAAGGTTCCTCCCACGAGCTGTGCAATTTGGATTATTGCCACGGGTTACCGCAGCAATGCTCCGAGGATCTCACGGAGGACTGAAATCCGCAAGGCTCACGCCAACCGGAGCATTAAGGCAATGTCCCCCTTCCTGAGGAAAAGGTAAAAAGAGGGAAGGGGACATAAAATGAATTTCTATATAGGCCCTATACCAACACAGTCACACACAGCATGCTTCACAGACACACACCACTCTTCAACCACAAACAGAACCCTTCACAAACACACAGAGAACCCCTTACACACACAGATCACCCCTCACAAACACATAGAGAACCCCTTACACACACAAAGCAGCCCTCACACACACACAGAGCACCCCTCACAAACACACACTGCACCCCTCACATACACACAGAGCACCCCTCTCTCAGACACACTGCTCACACATACGCACTGCACCCCTCGCAAACACACACAACACCCCTCACACACACACCCACATCACCCCTCACACACATACACACAGCACCCGTCACACACACAGCACCCTTCACACAAACACACACTCAGCACCCCTCTCACACTGTACCCCTCTCACATACATACACACACACACACTGCACCCCTCACACACACACTGTGTGTAAAAAATGCCCTGATCTTATTGTTTTCCCAGTCCGGTCCTGGTGCAAGGTTAAATTGCACCTAATTGCACCTTTTTTTTACCTAGTAAACAATTTCCTGGTGGTCCAGTGGTCTCCTTCCCTGGTGGTCCGGTTGGTTACCCTCTGAATGGCTGAGATCTCAACCACATGGTCTGCAGCGCTGCACCTGGCGGAGTTCCAGACCAGTGGCAATGGGTTCTCTCCCTTCGGCAGGCGGAGTGGAGGGGCCCTGTACCCAATGGCATACACGGCAAGTCACTGGCCTCCTCGCGTTGTCTGGCCCTCAATCACGGGCAGAGGACCAGTTGGATCAGTTAGGCACCCGTGAAGCTCCAGTCAGCATCAATCCTTAGGCAGCCACCTAACCCAACTCTAGATAGCCACCTCTGTGAGCACACCCCTCAGCATGGTGCATGGTGGCATGGTGCACCTGCCTAGGATAGGCCATGGGATATGGGTATAGAGTAAAGGGCATGGCAAACCAGAGTGTACAGTAATGATAAGTCAACATAGGCCTTGTTTTTTTTTTTTAATTATCTGTGTATGGCTTGCATGAAGTGTATGGCTTGCATGAAGTGAAGGTTAGATTGTTGTTTCTTTCATTGTTTTCTAGTTTTGTGGCTATGCTTACATTAAAAGACAGGAAGCCAGGGGTGGGGCTGGTAATACTTCCTGAGAGCTCCAAGCCTGACCACAAAATAAAGCCAAAAAAACCTCTTAGCATGCCAATCCGCCACCAACTGAGACATACCGGACCCTGGAGCTGGTTGAGACACCCGGGAGAGTGGCAACAAGGTGCTCTTCATTGCTTCCAGTGGGGCCTAGTGAGACTATCGGGCGGGAGAGACGGCCGCTCTCCGGTTCCGTGTACCCACGCAAGGTTGCCCTGTTGACCATCCCCGCCTTTGGACTGGCAGGGGTCACCCCGGCCAACACTAACACCAGCGTTGTTGCTAAGCTGACTAACTGCTACCAATACTACATGGCGGACTGCGTCTCTGTCCACAAGATGGCTGACAGTCGCCTACGACAAGGGTGCATACAACAGACGCCACACCAAGACCCAAGTGACTATATTGAGAAATATCTGCAGAAATTGGACGTACACTTCAACACCTTCTTGAAGCTAAGACAGCGGCGACTCAGATGCAACATCCGGGTGCTGATCGGAGAAGCGAGCAGCAGAATGGCGGAAGGCCTCAAACACAAGCAGCACATACCAACTCTACTAACCTACCTGGGCCGAAAACCACCAAGGAGATTTCCCCACCGCATTGACCACGCAAGCGGAAGATCACATACAGATGGCGGTGCAAGACCACCCCGACTCTCTCTTCACTACCCCCACGGTGGGGAGGACTTGAACTTTGCGCAGTTTCAAACCTGTAACAACGATGCTGGCCTTTAAGCTGACATGGGGCTGCGAAGAACACCTGCCTCACTACAGCTCTGCAGTTAACCCCTTAATTCGTTCCCACTGTGTCTCTATCTTAGCTGGCTCCCACCTGGTTCCTGCACCTATCCTAATGGACCTGCCCAGAGACAAAACAGGTTTCCCCTTATTAGGAATAGGCTGAACCCAGCGAAAGGCTTTCCGTTGGAGCTAGGAGCTCAATTGATGCTGGCCGTTGCCGTTTGCATCACAACTGTGAATCACGTAGCTTGGAGTTACTATCCCTTTATTTTTTGTACTTCAAACTTGATTAGTACTAGGGAACAGTGCAATCTTTAGTCTCAGCTGTTTTATCTGCAACTACCCTAGCCTGATATTGGTTTCATATTATTGTTTAGCAACTAACAATGCTCATGCCTAGACAGCGAGCCCTCTGTAAGCAGAGACCTTCCTAGCTGCACATTAATCCTGCCACCTCAGGGAGTTGGCTTACTCTGTTCTCTGCCCTCGGCCCTCACCTAACATCAGCAGACAACACGTACTAGCGCTCTATGCTTTATATATAGTTGATGTCAACCATGCCATTGTTTAATGATCATTTTGTTTTTCTTTACTCTCTCCATTTTATATGCACAACTGGTGTGGTGTGTTGTGTGGTGTGTGGTGCAGCGATCTGGCGGTGTTGCCGGGCCAGTGGCTTTATCAGTTATAAGTCTTAGCTTTATTTTCCTTTGATGTATTAGTCTTCTCTCAAGCAAAGTAACCTAGCATGTTTGCACCACTTATAACTCTTAAGATGCCAGCTTCAGTACTTAAAGCTTAGCCTGATACAGCTATGAGGATCACTGACATATGCATTATCTTGTTACTTTTTTGTCTACATACAAGAATTGTGTTAATATTTCGACTGCCACACTGTTTTGATATGTGTTTTACTTACCCTGCCTTTGCTGTTCTGGCCTGTCTGTTAACTGAGCACAACAACAAAACAGAATTAAAAAAAAAAAAAAAAAGACAGGATGCCACGTGTCAATTTTTGTTATGTGTGTGGTGATATGACATTTTCCATCCAGAAACGACTAGTTACTCCACTCATGAAGACAGCATACTGCCATTATTTTGGCATCCAGGTAGGGAATCAGGACAAACTTGGGCAACTTATATTTGCTGCAATACATAGTATGTGGGTGGTTAAATAAATAAGGATGCTCAATGCCTTTTGCCATCCCAATGATTTCGAGAGAACTGACAAATTATATAAATTACTATTTCTGCATGTTACCTCCTATTAAGGATGGCATATCATGAAGAAAGAAGTGGAGTGTGTAATACCCCAACATCCAGTCAGCTGTCTCAACAGTGCCACATGGGGACAGTCTGCCTGTACCTCACTCTCCAGAAGAGTACAGTCTGCAGGCAGATTAAGAGGGACACAATGTGAAGGAGAAATCACCTGAGTCTTCATCATTACTGACACTGAATTACCGATGAAGAGCTTTTCGGATCAAGGCTCGAACAGTGGAATCTTCTACAACCTAATGTCAATTGTTTGTGTACAGAAGTCAACATAAATTTGCTTCCATATTTTAATAAAAGGAAAATAAACTTATTGCCTGCTCCAATTTCAATGGTTAGAGGACAGCTTTTAATGTAGAACACAATGTACAGGACAAAACATAAAATAAAGAAAGGCAAAAGATGATCATCTTCATCTACCACAAGATAATGAGCTATTTCAATTTGGCATAGATAAACAAATAGGTGTCTGAATGGGAAACATTGTGGAGAGTTAAGCACATATAGCACAACAATGAAAATACAGCACACTTTTAACCAGCACAGTGTGACTCTAAAAATTATAATAAATAAAATAATATATATATATATATATTCTCAGATGCCACATTGTGTACTAATCTGAAGGCCAGCATTATGTGAAGCCAGATTGAGCACAAAACAGATTGAAGCACAAAAATAGCTGAAAGAATGAAGGGCAGCACAATAAAACAATGTCCCTCCTATGTGAAGCCAGATTGGCCACGATACTGACTGAAGCAACAACAATAGCGGAGTCTGAAAGTATTAGAGGTTTCCTACATGTGACTGTCCTGTATCAATGCTCACACCCAACTGAGGGAGTCTGAAATGACCGACAGCAGGCGGGAGTAAAATTGCACTCTGTCGATCTCTGCTATTTCCAACATCCGGGAACAGCAAGGAGTGGAGATATAGAGGTGGAACCCCTGTTTTGAACACTAATTGGGAAACGCTGCACTAGATATACTGATATCTACTCAGGCCTCTGCAGTGCAATGCCCTATAAGCACGTGTGTACTCTGGCATTCTGTCATTAGTGCTGTACAAGCAAATGGCACTTTGTTGGTTAAATTAATTTGTATGGTATGCTGTGGCTGTGCCAGGACAGCAAGACATACAATACACATTTAAAAAAAGTTCAGAATATTAGAATAGGGAAAAAAATTTTTTTAAACATTTTGGTGCAGAATAATTTTTTTGGGGTTATTTTTTTATGAATTCTAATGAAGTTAAAAAAAAAAAAAAAGGAAATTAGGGCAAAAGTGTGATATACAAATTTTGTCACCAGCACACTTTTAACTCAGATTAGTTCACTATGTGGCATCTAAAAATATATATTTTTTTATTATTAGTTTTAGAGTCAGACTGCGCTGGTTAAAAGTGTGCTGTTGACAATATTTGTTTATCACACATAAAAAAAGAAAAAAAAAGAAAATCAGCACAACTCATCTCATTTGGGTTGTAAATAAATTTCACATATGACAGTTCTGCTTTAAGGACCAATTACAATTAATGTCACCACAACAATCTGGCCCTTATATACATGACCTGCAACATATTTAATGTCTGTAGAGCTAACCATTATGAATAAACAGAACAATTCATGCTGCAACTGGATCTCCAAGGACCGAACTGCAATGATGGCTTGTTAAAGGTACTTAAATAGTTAAATAAATATAATGATCACTTTTCCATAGCTCTCTCTAGATTTATCAAAGTGATAGACTGCATTTATTAAATTCGCGTGGAGCTCCAATTACCCTTTAAATAAATGAAACACAAGATGATAGTATCAATTTCTCAAAATTTCCTGGCTAGAAAAACAGGATATTTTATTCAATAAGCCAGTCTCATTTCCTGTGTCATCCTTTCCTGTATTTTGCCAAACTGTGCAACGAGTGACTCCAAATTGGCAAAGGTCTGGTTCAGACAGGGATGTACGGTAATTAATCACAGGGCCTGGTTTAATATTTCTCTGGAAAAATTGCAAATGAAAAAATCTTTGGAAACAACTGGTCACACTATCCAAAAGATATGATGGTTGAAAACAAGATATCACATTGTCTACTAAATGTCCTTTTTAAGCACACGAGCTGTAAAACTGTTTCTATTCTTCAGGAATATCCAAAACTCTTCTGGAGAAAGACATTATGTTAACCATATTTGTACCTCTTGTTTCTACCAGGAAAAGCTGACAGCTAAAAGGAAATGCTTAACTGCTTCTCATAAAGACACACACGTTTGTCACAATTGAGCCAACAAAATATGTGCATACAAATAATACAGCCCACTGTCATGAACAATGATCACTGTTTGTAGTTTTCTATTTTCTTGTGCATATATATATATATATATATATATATATATATATATATATATTATTATTTTTTTTTAAACATGTGAGTGACTGTAATGTGCTGTGTGCATGTTTGGAAAGGGTTAAGGGTAGAGGTTCTTTTTTCTTTGGTGGTTTACCAGACTGAGCAGATTTTTACTTTCACACAAAATTAAGTTCTGCGCTTAAACTCACACTAATCCTGTGCGCCAGTAATGACTATAGTACACATCAGCCCAATACATAGAACAAAAACACTAAAAAGTTACCTGCGTATTATGCCAAATCCCTATGCACTTTTAAATAACTGGAGGTTTTTAGTATCACTCCATTGGTTAGCTTACCTACCACGTCAAGTCAAACCTCTTAGAGGAGTCCTACACTAATATATTACCTTGCTTCCTTTAGCTATAAGGTAAAAGCTCTAATAAGACAGAGAGGGGTAATATTCTAAACCACCAAACACGGATCTACTTTTAGTAAGGCACACATGGTGTAGGCATCAGCACTGTAACATGGCTGTGTTACACAAAAGAACATACAAACAAACAAAATTAAATTATGCTCAAAGGCCCACTACTCATTGGTGGCAGCAATTACTATGGTACACATCAGCCCCAATACAAAAAACAAAAAAAAGTCAGCTGCGCAGCATCTCATACCCTATGCGCATTTAAATAATTTTTACTGGGATCATCATCATCTCACAATGGTGGAGACAACAAGCTTCTGCCACCGGACCACCATGTAGTAAACCTCGGTGAAGACATGATCACCTCTCACCATCTCAATTGGGCCTTTGACCCAGACCACTAGGGAGATAGGTTTTATATATATATATACATATATATATATACACACACACACACACGCATACATATACACACTTGCAATGACAACGATCACAGAAACATGACACACGCTGCCTCACGCTCACCTATCAACACAAAGTATTCTTTATATGTACAGCACCACAAGCAGCCTCAGCACATTAATAGCAAATACTGTCTCCCACACTCGCAGTACATACAGCCACTACACACACGTCCTCCCCATTCTCACAACACATGCAGGCTCAAACACACAGTATCACCACACAAAGTCAACAACTTCTACACACACAAAACACCTATGTCTGTGACAAATGCTCCTTCCCACGTACGCTTTCCACGGACTCCTGGAGGAGTGTAGAAGCTGGCCTCCTGCCCACCGACTATGGTCCAGGTCTGGGACATTGTTTGGGAGTTACCCTGCCCAGTCACCACTAGTAGCTTTCCCTGGGTGCCCTTGGTTCAGCACTTTCCCTTCATGCAAATAGAACTGAACACCAGCTCTCTGGTGGCCATTCGCATGAATCAAACCCACGAATAGTCCCAGCAGTACTTAGCTGCCACCGCTATGGAACTAAATTCGTCATGAGGACTTCGTGGGTTCCTGGTCACCTCAGCGGGACTCAGCCACAAATGTTATGGACAACTTGGTTCACGGTTTTGAACCACTTTGAAATCCGCCAGGAGAGCGCTTTGTGAAGGCAAGAAGTCTGAAACTTAGGGGAACAAACGCTACCTAAGAGCCAGACAGAGCACCACGTATTGCGGCCGCAGGAGCTCCCGAAAGTTGACCGTCAAAAGCACCAAACGCCCTGGAACTATTTTAGGCATAGGAACACGTGTGCGGGCGGTCAGAACTTTAACATGGTGGCGTTTCCCCTACATTGCATGGATCTGAGCGCTATTTAACAATGTATTATTTGTGGGGTTATTTTATGTTTTTATTATGGTTTTGGGTATTTTTATGATTTATATTTTTAGGTTTGCCTCTCTGTTCCTGGGAGATAATTAGCTTACCGGTCTTTAATGCAATTATCTCCTAGGCCCAGAGATTCCTCGAAAAGGGCTTGTGGTGAAGGCAATGGAGACCCCTTGCTGGGGTCTGTGTATAAAAAGGCTGTGTTTGGATGCATTAATCCAGTTGTACTCACAGAACTATATGTCGTCTAGTTACTGGGAAGGGAAGGGCTATAATCACTGCTCAGCACCTTGTTCCAGCTCTTTGAGGATTCGGCGGGGAAAGTCTTTGTAAGGACTAGGGCTCCCAGGACTGTGTGTCGTCCAGTCCCTGGGAGGGAATAGAGCTAGTCCCCTATCCTGTTCCAGGACAGAGAGGCTCCAAGAGGACCCCAGTCAAGCCACAGCGACTGGGGCAGAAGCGCTGAGGTTTTCTCCTGTTCCAGCTAAGAAGTGGTCCTTGGTGGAGGTACCCAGCTAGGGTACAGGGAGCTCCGCTACAATGTTCAAAGAAAAACTTGCACCAAGGTGTGGACCTTTGTCTTATCTCTGAAAATAACCTTCATTCTTCCATGTACAAAGTACAAAATTGTGCAATTTTTCTGAAAAAAGAAGATTGCTAGAACAAGGTACTTCCTGATTCTGTAGGGAGAACATTTACAGAATATAGTTACAGAAACATGGAAAAACATGTTTTAGGAGTATAATAAGGAGGATGAAAAGAAAGCTTGAGATATACACAGTGATGTTGTGAAAGAATTTACCTTGATTCCAAGGTTCAAGCTTATAGGCGCCGTTACAGTCCATAATGAATGCGGCGGCGAGGCTCATCTTCCTGTCCGCCCGCACCTCCCATGCCTCACCCTTCTGTCAGTCCCTACATTGGCTTTCCATAAAATATAGAGTTCAATTTAAAATTCTGGTTCTTGCTTTCAAATCTCTACATAATGCTGCTCCCACCTATCTATCCTACCTTATACACAAGTATGTCCCGTCTAGGCCCTTACGATCTGCTGGAGACTTACGTCTATCTTCTGTCCGTACTCCCACCTCTGATGCTCGCCTTCAAGATTTTTCGAGGGCTGCTCCGTTCCTGTGGAACTCGCTTCCCTCCTCCGTTAGATGCTCACCCAGTCTCCACTCCTTCAAAAAAGTCGTTAAAAACCCACTTCTTCATAAAAGCGTATCACGAGTGTTGTACCCTATGATGGCCCAGATGGCCAATGGAAATACACATCTATCCAAGTTGCACATGAACAGCATAGTAAACACCCATTGGGTAGCACCCGGATTTACTGTTGTAGCAGCTAAACACACCCAAGCTTGCATGATCTATGCTAGAAACAATCCAGGACACAATGTCAAAACACCAAGTATGCACACACCAAGGCCACTTTACCCATTTCAAAGACTGCAGATAGACTATATTTAACTGCCTAAGGTAAGAGTGTATGAATATGTGTTGGTGAGCATTGATCTCTTTTCAGGTTGGCCTGAGGCCTACCCAGTGTCGAAAGCCACAGTGAAGATCACAGCAAGTAAGCTTCGGGAGAAACTGGTATGTAGATACAGGGTACCTGAAGTGATTGAAAGTGACAGAGGTACCCATTTCACTGGGGAAATAATGCAAGAAATTATGAAAGCTTTAGAGATCAGCCAGGCCTTCCACACCCCTTATCACCCCCAGAGTAGTGGGAAAGTAGAAAGGGCAAATGGCACCTTAAAGAACAAGATTGCAAAAGCCATGCAAGACACAGGGAAGCCCTCGACTTAATGCCTTCCCCTAGCATTCTTTTCTATGAGATTCACTTCCAATTCCAGACATGGCCTATCCCCTTTTGAGATCCTGTGTGGATGTGCCACAAAGACAGAACTCTACTTTCCCCAGACCCTCCAGATGCAGCATGGTAGTATGACTGCCTATGTACAGGCCCTACACCAAAGATTAGTCAGGGTGCATAAACAATGCTTTGATTCCTTTCCAGATCCAGACTCTGATTCTGCAATTTACAAACTGCAGCCTGGGGATTGGGTGGTGATAAAGAGGCATGTGAGGAATGGACTTAAACCGCACTTTGACGGTCCATTCCAAGTGCTCCTGACTACGGCTACCTCAGTGAAACTATAAGGAAAAGCACCTGGATACACGCCAGTCACTGTAAACAAGTCACTCCGACTGATCCACCGACATGAAGCTGTTCTTATCCTTTATCATTGTATGCTCTGTTCAGATATGCTACTCTGACTTGAGACCAGAAGATAATAATGCATGGCAGGGAAATATATGGATGCAGATAGCAAAGGCTTTTAATTTAACCTCCTTTTGCCTCAACCCTCTCCTCAGTACTGAAAATGCTATACAATCTTGTCTTATAGCTGTCACTACCGCCATCTCACTCTTGGAGAAATACATACAGACCCATAGACCCCATAAAACTCTACGACTACATTCTTATGCTCTCAACCAACTGGTAGGCAAGCCTCCCCTAGCCCTGAAGAATTAATGTGACAACCGCTGAACTATGTTGGTCTTTTTCATGTAATTGTTCAAGAGACCCTAATACTAAATCCCTATTTTGCCCCACATGGTGGAAATATACCACGAATTGTAGAGCCCTGAGCACCACTATGAAATGTACCCAAACTCACCAAGTTATGAGTTACCATCACCATGTCTATCTCCCTAAAGGATGGACTTTCTCCTGTGGAAATGTTACTTATGCGTATGTCCCAGGTAACATTACAGGAGGTCCCTGTGCAATCTCACGCCTAACCATGACCATGTTTTCAAATCTGACCTGATCTCTGAAACCACCCAGCTACACAAACCACAGAGAGACAGGAGAGATGTCAAAAACACCCTTACTTCAGATTGTAACCCTGAAATCACTCTATTATCTAAATCCAAATATTCTGCCCTTGCATACTCTATGGTAGGAGTCCCAGGCTTAGCACTGTATAATACCCTAGTAATTAATGCTGTAGCCTGTTCCCTTGCAATGGGTTTAAATGCCACTTCCCAGGCCCTAGAAGAGCTACTTTTGGACACCCAAGCAAATAAGGCAATCCTTGAGAATAGAGCAGCAATTGACTACTTAGGCTGTGAAGCTATTGAAGGTATGTGCTGTTTTAACCTATCTGACCAAGGCACTATGACCCATAAACATATATAAGACTTACATGACTTAATACAGGACATCAACACGATACTGGCTTCTTTGGGGATTGGGATTGGACATTTGGGCTATGGTTGAATTTGCTAATTAAGAAAATGTTGTACTTTTTGCTATTAGCTGTATTTGTTATTATGACCATTTTTCTAACCTTCAAGTTCTTCTCATGTCTTCTAACCTCTCTATGTAAAAACAAATCTACTGTTGGTCGTACCTTAACTTACCTTCCAGCTCCGACTTCGGAAGGTTTTTACGATGTTACCTCACTGTCAGAATTAAAAGTTGATTCAGCACGCATAACTGTGTTACACCTAGGACTAAGGATAACGTATAACCGGACCTTAGAATGGACGGACTTAACATATCCAAGAATAGTCAAAATACTTGCCGAGGTCAGGAACACAGAATCAAACACAACAATGAGGGAAAGCCAAAAGTCAAGGATACCATAATTCAGGGAAGTCAAAACAAAGCCAAAGTCAAATACCAGAAAATCAAGATCAGGAACACACTCTCGGATAACCATTAGGATGAAACCATGACAGGGAAATAAGCAAAAGAAGAATTGGGTTTAAATACCCCTCCTGTGGATCCGATAGGCTGTAACCGGCCTTTAACCCCAAAAGCAATTACCAGGTTTCCATGTGCATGATTGCTGATTGGCACAACTTTTCCCGTCAGGACGGTAATGCTACTCGGCACAACTTTTCCTGTCAGGACGGTAAATGCCATTAACCACATTTTTATGTGCGGATGAATACGTGACACTCGCTGAACAAACGAAGAAACCCTCCTCAGCTGATTCTGGTGGTCCGTGGTGAAGAAATAAAGTCCCACAGGCTTTGGCTAGCAGGCCTGGAGATACCTTGGACACCCGGGACATACTTGTAAACGAGAGAAATCTCAATGTATCTTTCCTGGTAAAATATTTTATAAATAAATAATTTGGGTGACCCTTGGATCAAAAGAGGGGATTGTGAAAGAATTTACCTTGCTTATAGGTGTCATATTAGATATCCTAACTTGGACTCAGGAAGTGCTTAATGCTTAAAACAATACTTAAGATCTGTCTCTCCTAAATCAGTCTATTCCTTCTCTTTCCCGGAATGTATCTGTTATATGTACATGACGTTCATCACTATGTCTTATCTGTACTCCCTTCATCCTTTCACTCCCTTCCTACTACTGTTCTATGAGTATTTGCACATAAGCACTTACTTTTTAATATATAAAAACACAAACTGACAAAATAAAGGTCAGAGGCTTATTTTGATAACCAAACACGCGCCTGGTATCTAATGCACGCTTCTCCAAGTGCACTTAATACAATTTGGTATCACCTGAATATAACAAAGATCAATATTGGATCTATAACAATGTCCAGAGCAGGAAACAAAAGCTAGATCCTGTGATTTTATATGGTAAATTGGCAGCCTTGATGAACCAGTTGGATTTTGACTGCCTTCAAAATATACGGGGTACATGAGCATTTGTTTATTGGTCTTCATCCAATAAATGTCACTGCATACTTTGTTTATAAATATTTTTCCCAACAAATTTGCAATCATTAAAGCAGTCCTGGGAAGTAATTCTACTTACCCTTGTCCAGCACTAAATTTAAGATAAGTTTAAAGTTTTTTATTTAGTTTTTTTTTATTATTATTATTTAATAGGGGTGGACCTGTTTAATTGTGCCCACTAGGGCATAATACATCTTGAAAACTTTTATGGACGACAGGGTTACAGTAACCATTTAAAGTGACAGTGACATTTTATTGATGTTATATGGACCTTTAATCTGGAATTTTGAAGATTTGAATACTGTTTGACACTGTTGTTGGTGTGACATATTTACAAGCCTAATGATATTACAAACAATCAGCTGTGTAACTTGTAACTGTGATAATGTGCTCACACATTAAAGGGGAACAGTTCTTAATGTGACAGCATTCTTTTTATGTACTCTCTATGTACCAATGTGCACAAAACCTCTCAAAATTGAACACAAGTTTAAATATAATAACAGTTAGTGTTTCTTTTCACTGGTGATTATCATTTTCAGGTGCTACTCTTCTTAGAATTATGACTGGTATTAGACATTCGGTGGTGTGTTATGTCATAATAATATTCCAGATTTGTTATGATTTGATCATTTATCTGATATCCCTTATTAATATTAGTATTAAATCTCTATCGTTTTATCTGCTACTTTATGTCATCAGAAAAAATGAACACATGAAAAGACGTGGCTTATTCTGGCTGTGGATAAGTCTCTTGGTGTCTCCCAGCCAGACGCTTTTTTTCCTCCAATATTCCTATAATGCATTTATTTCATCATCATTAACTTCTTTATTGTTTGAAGCCTGCACTGGGTCTCCAGGCAAGAATATGGTTTATGAATTAAGGGACACTGCCAATTCTCCCTTCAGCAAAACAGGAAAATGATCCAAACTGTCGAGGAAAATCAAGCATTTGGTATTTTTTCAGCTGGCAGACAACAGATGAATATACTAGAATTAAACAAAACCAATTTTTTAAAGAATGATGACCCCTTGAGTCTGAAAAACACATTTGTATACCTTTTTTATTTTTACATCTGGTGAATGGAAAATGCATCAGTAGAAAATCATGGATGGGAATATAATGGCTCACTGGTTCCCAAAGAGTTCATAGCGAACTAGGGCTTAGGGAATCTTAGTTAAAACATAGGTAAGTCATAGTTTCACTAAATAAAACACCCCTTATATTTACAATCTCTCTAATGTGAGCAAGAGTGACTTTTAAGTTCTCTTAACAGTGTTATTACTAAGGTGGAGACAGTTCAAAGAGGACTATGAAAGATATATTGTGCAAAGATGGATCTTACTCTTGAGCAATATGTAGGGTATCTAATGGGATGGCTGTCACTGACCTAGGTCAGCTACTAAATTGGTGAGAAGGATTTACATGAAGATATCACTCCTCCGAAAAACACAGCCGTCCGTAATTTTTTTCCATTTTTCAAATCACTTGTTCAATGCTTCTGGCATCTACATAAATGAGCATATATTGTCTCGCTCAATGACAAAAGGGCATCGTTTTAATTCCAGCATTTCCAGTTGCTTAGTGCTTAGACAGTGAATTGCCAACTATTTGAAACATGCTGTAAGATGCTTAATTTTCCACGACATCAAATTCTCCATCAGCTTTAAATAAAATGAGGTTGCGTGAGGACAGGCTTCAATCAACATTAACCCTTTCTCTACAGGAAATGATGTATTGGCTACCTGTTTAGAGAAAAAAAAAAAAAAATATATATATATATATATATATTCCACCATATTTCTAGTGTGGCTAAAGTGCCAGAAGTGCCTGTAGACTTGTGCATTTCAGTTTTAATTCATCCTAATTTTGGGCCAATTTCGTTCCCGTTTCACAACTCTGAAAAAACATAATTTCAGGTTAAGTTGCCATCCAACACTCATAATAGTTACACAGAACAAGGAAAATAGAAATATACTTATTACTGGACTTGGGCTACACATACAAAATACAGAGAATACGCAATGTCAAGATACAAACTAAAATTCAAGAATGTCAGGATAGAAGCCAAAACCAGTATCGAAAAAACAAACCAGTGGTCAGGGATACAGAAATTAGAATGATCGAGACAAGCAGGGATCAATAAACCAGGAATCAAATATATAAACAGTACACTTATGGATAAACAAAATGGAAACTACAACAGATCAACAATTTGATCAAAAGCAGGGTTTTTTATAGGAACCCTCCAAATTGCCAGCTTCACAATTGTGGCATCGGAATGTACTCAAATGGCACCTATGATGTCATAACACTAGAAGCGTGAGTGGATGTCGCACATGCCATAAAAGGAGATGGAGAAAAGATAATGGATACTGCACTCTCCAGGCTTACAGGGTACTCAGGACCTGAGGACGGCAAAGTCTCACTTCCAGATATAGAAAATAAATATTTATCCAGGCACTCAAGGATAAAAGAAAAATAGCAGCTTTATTTAGAGGAAAAGAACAGCAACGTTTCGACCAAGCCGGGTCTTTGTCAAGCTTGAAAAAGACCCTACTAGATCAATATTTATTTTATATAAAAGGAGATGGGACCGCAGCGTTTCACATCAGAGACTGATAACAGAAGGCTCAGAGAACACCAAAGAGACCATGGTCGTGTCAAGATGGCGTCCAGTCGACAGAACGATGGTGGCATCGTGACGCATATGGATGTGTAATGAAATGGGCAACGCAAGAGTCTTTTTATTTGTTTCGGGATTTGGAGTTCCCTCTGTGGCACTATAAAAAGAGGAAGGGAATGGAAAAGAAGCTGACTTTTTAGGGAGCAAAGAATTGGTCTGTGCAATAATGTGGGCTGTATTTCCTGTCCAATCAAGAGGCTTAAAGGGACACTATAGTCACCTGAACAACTTTAGCTTAATGAAGCAGTTTGGGTGTATAGAACATGCCCCTGCAGCCTCACTGCTCAATCCTCTGCCATTTAGGAGTTAAATCCCTTTGTTTATGAACCCTAGTCACACCTCCCTGCATGTGACTTGCACAGTCTTCCATAAACACTTCCTGTAAAGAGAGCCCTATTTAGGCTTTCTTTATTGCAAGTTCTGTTTAATTAAGATTTTCTTATCCCCTGCTATGTTAATAGCTTGCTAGACCCTGCAAGAGCCTCCTGTATGTGATTAAAGTTCAATTTAGAGATTGAGATACAATTATTTAAGGTAAATTACATCTGTTTGAAAGTGAAACCAGTTTTTTTTTCATGCAGGCTCTGTCAATCATAGCCAGGGGAGGTGTGGCTAGGGCTGCATAAACAGAAACAAAGTGATTTAACTCCTAAATGACAGTGAATTGAGCAGTGAAATTGCAGGGGAATGATCTATACACTAAAACTACTTTATTTAGCTAAAGTAATTTAGGTGACTATAGTGTTCCTTTAACAAAAATGGTTAATGGAAACACAAGGATTGATGGTTACAGGACAGCAACTAGTGAGATCAAGTGTGAAGTTACTAATATAGAAAAAAAAGGAGGATCAGTAAAGTATCAATATAATTCCCAGCAGGATTCCTACAGACCCTTTGAGTTCACCTATTTGAGGCAGACAGACCAGCATTGATTGTGTGTTTTACCTTTGCTCTGCCTGTGTGGGAATTGGAGATAGCCAATGTCATTTATTCTAGTGTGAGACTGGTGAGGTGGTTAGGTTACTGCTGTGCCTAGCCACTGCCACCTACACCAACGTTAATTCGCTGATTAAAAATTATTTTTTAGATTTGTGATTTTTTTTTTCTTGTCAGCAAAACGAGCCTGGCAGTAGCATTCTTTATAGCCTTGAAGAGGGGCACAA